GCCAAGATCCGAGCTTCCATTGTACATGGGATTTGACAATCACAGCTAACGGTATATAGTCTGCATACAAATAGCCATTAAAACATGACCACTGTAAAACTTTACCATCAATATTATCCTTGCCTTAGCCATGTAGAAAGATCATAAAGAAAAGGATCAGAAGTCGTTAGATTAGCCACAATATGTGTTAATAATGTTAAGAAAGATCAAGAAAAGAAGTCATAATAATATTAAAAAAAATAAAATAAAAAACCAGAAATGAAAAGGAAAAGAGAAACAAAAAAGGCTAGGTGTAAAAAAGAGAGAAGGAACGCATGCCATGATCAGTAACAGAGTAAAAAAAAATTTTAATAAAAAAAATCAAAGGGCCAGAGAATATACTATATACCTTACTCTATCTTTTGCTTTTTTTTTTTTTTTTTTCGCCTTCCTTCCATGTGAACACAGTATTTTTGTAGTAAGGATAATGTCGTTTTGCCACAAAATATGGGGTCCCCAAATAGGAAGGAGTGAGGCTGTCTCAGCATGACCTAGCTAGGGTTAGCACAAAATCATGAATTCTCTGTTCTTCTGATTGACCATCTAACGGAAGCTAGATCATGCTGGCAGCTTCACTTTTTCCCTTGTGAGCATTATGGAATCACTATAATATTTACGATCAACAAAATCATATCATGAAGAAGATTGATAAAACCTTAGAAGCAAGAAATGAAGAAGGCTTTTTTTTTTGTTGCTTAGAAGAACAAATCGGCCAGTGGGTATGTGCTATATATTTATAGGGGGAGAGGCGTGAAGAGAGAGAAAAAGATTTGAGAGAGAGAGAGAACAAATTAACCTACCCACATTGTGATGTACTACTAGCTAGGAGTATTGATAAATGAAAACAAGTGTGGTTTAAGAGAGAAAAGCCCATTTAAAAAAAATAAAATAAAATAAAAAAGTGATAAGAGGAATTCTAATCATGTTAATTATTTCATGTTTTTAGTTAAAATAGTTAATGATTTAATTAAAATTTAATTTTTCTTCACTCAAATAATTAGTTAAATTATTAGCTATTTTAAAAATTTTATTTCACATTAACTAAATATAATTAGTAAGAACTGTCTAACTCTTTAATTTATTGTATTATTTTATTGTTTCATACTCAATAAATATAAAAGTTTTTTTTAAATTAATAAAGTTATTTATATTTAAATTCAATAAATATTAAAATAATTTATATTTAGTTAAAGTAAAAAATATAATTAAATTGACTCACTAAAAAATTACTATCTAAACAAATTTTCTACCTATTTTAGTTAAAATTTAACTAAAAAATAGATAGGTCTCTTCTCTAAAATCAAAAAACAGCTAATAAGAAGAGGAGCATGCAGAAGGGCAGAAAGGAACAGCTATATAGGTGGGGGTGGGAGGAATAGCTGGTTATATTAGGGATCACAGGTGGAGCAAACATAGGGCGGCATTGCCAGTGGACATATATAAGAGAGAGGGTTGGGAGCTCTCTGTTTCTCTCTATCATCGCTTTCCTTGGCGCCCACTTTGCAAAACCCAAAAATAAATAATAATTAATAATAATAATAATAAACAAAAAATATATATCTAAGCAGTTATGGGTGATTATGACATTTTGAACGAGTCAAAATTTGTTGTATAATGTTATGAATCATAGTTTGTAACAATTTATGAGTGGTATAAGAAATTCATATTTGATGTGAGAGTGCATAGTATTGATCAGTTTAAGTTGAACATAAATCACGTGTTTAATTAATCAGATTATATTATGTCATTTAAAAAATTTTGAATAATTTTTTGATACGTTTTTTTATGTTTTATTGTTTGAATATATTACATAACCTGTGATGTTATAATTAGTTAAAAACGAATAATGCTATCAGACACTAATAATAATGAGGACCACCTATTTATAGAAAATAATCTCGTGATATGAGACTCATTTTTTATTAATAATAATACTTAATACTGATAGTGTCTTTAAATATTTTTTATTCATTAAAAACCATTTGGCACACAATAAATAGTCTGTTTATTTCGCTGATTCGAGTTTAGAATTCGAGTTGAGATGTGACTTTATGTGAGAGTTTTTTACTGTAGTAAAAAAGTTAGATGTGATTGTTTGTGAGAGCTTTTTACTGTTAGAAAAACTCAAATTCTAAACTCGAATTAGCGAAGTGAACGGAGCATGAATTATTTCAATCCCTTTAAATTTAGATGTTTAGAGGGATAGACTACTCGTGCACTATCTCACGCCTAGAAAACAATCTCAGATATATATATATATATATACACACACACACCTATTGTACTATATATGTATGTTGCATAGCATGCTTTTGTGGCGTCATTAGACTATAGTAGAGGAGTGGGGCTCGGGCTGTGGGGGTGATCGTACGGTACAAACAACACAATTCAAAATGACTACTATTTATCTAGTGTCTAGTGTGTTAATCCTTTTCCTTCTCACTCAGCATGAAAGACATATAGCTAGAGTGGGGGGGGCATATACTGATATACATTATACTGAACTGCTGCAATTATTAGTTGAGAAAGAAAAACCATTTCGACTTTCAATGCATTTTTTAACGTTTTTGGAATACATTGTTGATAGTGAAACCTTCCTACAGTGTTCTCTCTCTCTCTCTCTATTTCTCTTTTACACAGTGGCTAAAATTTGATCAAATTCAGTTGTCAATTTTTGGGGTGAGATTTTTAACGCCACCCACTCCTCATCACGCTCATTGAGAGAGAATAACAAAAGAAAAGAGTGAAGTGATCAGAATAAAATAAAATAAAAATGCACTGTGTTGGTGTTGGTTGGTCACGTGCATGGTCATTGACCAACTTGTTTTTAGAGCTTGGTTTTGCTTTTATGGACGCTGTCACTGCCAAGATTTTACAGCTGTTAAGTTACAATTAACGGTCTGATATATATATATATATATTATATATTTGTAAAACAGTTGTTTTCAAGAGAGAGAGAGAGAGAGAGGGAGAGAGAGAGGAGGGGTTGGTACAAATGCTATGAAGCTGATCTCTGATCCCCTTTCTTTGGACCCCGCAAACCAATAAACCTACAAAGTGACAGTCTGCAAGCCAAGCTGCCTAGTGTTATAGACCCCTTTTATGCTAAGAAACCAAATAATACTCTTATGGAATCTCTCCAAACCAAAACAAAAAAACAAAATTACACATAGCAAGCAATTTTGGACGTCAAGTAAGTAGCTAATGTTGGTGGTTGGTTATTTATGTTATCATCAGTTTCCCCACAATAATAATAATTAAAAAAAGATCATATGGTCTCAAATTATTATTAAAATCTCGTTTATTTTATTGATTTAAATTTTATTATAATAAAAAGTTTTAAAAAATATTTACATTTAATTTTTTTGTTACAGTAAAAAACTCTCACATAACGTCACATCTCAACTCAAATTAAAAATTTAAATCAACAAACTAAACGGATCAACAGAAACTAACACAAGTCTGGTTTTGTTTTGTTTGTTTAGTCTCCATTGGATTTGTTTATATGTGGACGTGATGGTGGTGTTTGTGCTATAGAATTCTGGCTCTTAATCGATTGACCGTAAAAATTATGTCAAAAATAATTTTTATGTACTCAATCTTAATCTGTCGAGATATTTTCTCGTTATCAGACCACATACATATGTCTTTTTTTTAGTGTCATCATATTAGACCAGTATAATCTGTCTTAATTAAGGGTTATAACTTTATATTGCAGGATCATTCGTATTATTGTAAAATTATTCGCATTATTTTAAGAAACACAAGTATATTGTTTCATTAAAAGAAAAAAGAAAAAGAAGAAACCAAATATCAATAGTCAATAAAGAAAACAAAAAGGGCAAAACTGTCCCGCTCTCGCACGCCTATAAATGGTGAACTGCCTTTGAGAAATGTGAAGATGAGGTTGTGGTTCTTAAACACCTGCAAGATCCTATATATATGTATGTGTATATATATATTATTATGTACTGTTTTTTCTTTTCACATCAGAGATGGGATTAAATGCATGAAGTAGTTTGCTATAATAAAGTGGTCAGTCTAGTCTAGGAATCTATATAGTCTATAGGGTGGTCCCGTTGCATTGCTTATTATAATCTCCTGCAGTTTGTTCAGAGCGTGGAGAAGATAGATAAATATATAGATAGGGTTGTAGCCCTTTTTATTTCTCTTGGTATGCTAACATTATTGCATTTACTGATCAGCTGCACAAACACAATGCCATCATTTCTTCTGGAATATTTCTTTCACATGTAAAGAAAATTAAATTTAAATCCATTTCCCACTTTTGACTTCATAGGGACACAAATTCTTGTTGATCTCATAAGATCCTAAGTATGTCTTTGATCCGTTTCAATAGGACTTTCAAGTTTTTCTAACTATATGACAGCCAATATTGTGGCTATTCAACATTCAGGTGTCCAGCTTTGTCAAGGACTATATCGAATTATTGATTCACGTTTTTATGAAATATTTTCTTTTTTAATTTTTCAAAACAGACAGCCCCTGTATTGTGCAGGGAGTCTAACTTGACTGGTCATAACTCAAAATGTATCAACCAGTTTCAGCTTCCTTTAAAAAAAAAAAAAAAAAATGTTTGTGTGATTACTCATTTTAACTCTGAACAATGGTTATTATAGAATGATCATTTATATTTCTGAGGTATTGAGAAGTCTTTGCTTGGCTTTTGAGCAAAATAGGATCTCCTCTCTTTTTGAGTCTTAATGCAAGATACTTCTGTTTGGGTGTGTATTTGAAAGAGAGAGTTTCACAGCCCTTGTGGATAACACGTGTAGAAAACTTGATCAATAAATTGAGAAACAAAAGGAAAACATTATTACATTTTGAGAAACGTATTTCTCTATCACATCCAACCTAATATCAATCAGTACACAATTTGTTAATTTACAGAATTACACTTTCTGAATTTAATTAAAACCACCACTTTTTTTTTCCCCCTCTCTTTTTCTGAATGGTGAATTTACAATGGTTGCTAGTATAATCAACCTCAACAATTCTCTTAGCTTCAATGGCTGCCACAATAGTCCAGTGATATTCTGTTTGATATCCATTCTATCACAATCATCATACACGTCAAATTCTTCATCAACTGTCACCAAAAATCACCACAAGAACAGAGTCCATTCTTGAAGTAATGAAATCTATTTGCATCCCTCACTACAAGTTGTCGTTCAAAGCATTTTGAGACAAGTTTACAAAAAGTATGACAATCACCACAAACACGAAGATTCTTTGTGATTCTAATAGGGGCTCCATCAGAAGTTTCAAGCAGGCCATATGCAATAGCCAGCCTTTCACTATGCCCATGAAGCATCTCAATTTTTTCTTCTTCCTCTACATTGTGCAAAACCAATTTGGTTTCAGCCACATACCCACCTTCCCTTTCCAATCTCTCAGTAACTTGAGCTAATTTTTGGTATATCTTTAGAGACTGAGGATGAGATTTATCTCTGGCCATGAATGCATGGACTTTGTTTCCAATTTCAATCCAACTACATCCAGGATTTTTCTTCAATCCACTTCCCTTCATTCTCGTTCTCACTTCTTGTACTTCTTTCCATCTTCCACTAGCTGCAAGTACGTTAGATATCAACACATAATTTCCCGGATTCTCTGGCTCCAACTCTAGAAGCTTCCTTGAAGCAATTTCTCCCAATTCTTTATTAGAGTGTATCCTGCAAGCCCCGAGGAGAGCACACCATACTTCAGCAGTAGGCTCACCTTGCATGCCATTCACAAATTGGTATGCCTCTTCCATGCGATTGCCACGGCCGAGAAGATCAACAAAACAGGCATAATGCTCTGGCCAGGGCTCTAATTGATATTTCCTTCTCATGATATCGAAAAATCTTTTACCTTCGTCGATCAAACCCGAATGACTGCACGCGTGTAGAATTGCTAAAAAAGTGACATGATCAGGGACTAATCCTTCACCCTCCATACTACTGAATAAATCAATAGCTTTCTTGCCATGACCATACATTCCATACGCATTTATCATGGTAGTCCACAGAACTAGATCTCTGTTCGAAACACGGTTATATACCTTAAACGCATACTCCAAATTCCCACAGCTGGCATACATCTCCACTAAAGCGTGAGCAACAGATCCCTCCAAGACAAATCCCTTTCTGATTAGAAAGCCATGGATTTCCTTTCCTTTACTCAAGGCAGATAAAGTAGCAGCGGCTGAAAGTATGCAAACGAGTGCTATAGCGTCGGGTTCCACATTAGATTCTTTCATCAGGTCTAAAAGTTCAAATGCCTCATTTGCAAGACCATTGTGGACATAACAAGACAGCACGCTCGTCCAAGACACAATATCTTTCGATTCAATCAGTTCAAACATTCGATTTGCATATTCTATGTACCTGCACTCTCCATATACGTTGACAATAGCATTTTGAAGCAACAGATCATATAAACCTCTTCTTATAATGTAACCATGGACTTCTTTTACCAAGTAAATGCATTTCAACCCTTTACAGGCCAGCAAGACGCTTTCAATCATCATTGGGTCAACATCCACCCCTTTTATCTGCGCCTTTCGGCACAAATCCAAGGCCTTCGTATGTAAATTGTTCTGTGCAAAGCCAGCAATAATTGTCGTCCATGAAATGAAATCCTTAATAGCCATCCTGTCGAAAGCACGGTCCATGAAGTTCACACAAGAACACCTAGCATACATATCTATCAGTGTGTTTCCAATTTGTATATTGGAATCTAATCCTTGTTTCACTGCATAAGCATGACTTTCCTTTCCGTTCAATACGTTTCCTAATCGGCCAGATGCTGCAATAATATTTAAAACTGAAACTTTGTCTGGTTTTTTACCCGTGTTCTGCATGTTATGGAACAATTCAATAGCTTCATTGTACAAACCATTTTGGACAAAACCAGACAACATAGTGTTATATGAGACATTATCCTTGACCTCCAAGTCGTTAAAAACTTTCACGGCGTCAACCATTTTACCATATCTTACGTACATAGCAAGCAAAGCATTTCCCACGTAAATATCATAACAGTGACTTGATTTCAAGATCGAAGCATGGATCTCCCTGCCTGACTTCATGGAAACGGGATCCTCACAGGCTTGAAGAGCAGAGACAAAAGTATAAGTGTTCGTTGAAACATTCAACTTCTGCATTTCTCTAAAATATTCCAAGGCCTCCACGGCCTGGCCATTTGAGGAACACGCAAAAATGATAGAATTCCATGACACAATATCGTCCCTTTTACTTATAAGATCAAACAGTTTTCTAGCCCCGTTAAGATCACCGCACTTTGCATACATGGAAACCAAAGAGTTGACAACAAAAGTCACAGAATCAAACCCGTACTTGATAGCGAAACCATGAATTTCCATGCCGCAACAGAGATTGTAAACCACACCACATGCTTTCAATACACAAGGAAACGTACACGAATCAAGAGGAACTCCCAAGACCCTCATTTCTCTATACAGCTCAAGAGCTCCTAAAGCCTCCCCATTTGAAACACACGCCCCAAGCATCGCATTCCAAGTGAAAATCGTTCTTTCACGCATTTTATCGAACACCTTCTCTGCATTCTCAATAGACCCACACTTTCCGTACATAAACAAGAGCATAGTATTCAGAAACACGGAATCAGAAACGTCACAAGATTTTATCATGTGGGCATGGATTTGTTTCCCTTGGAATAAACATCTCTTGGCCGCACAAAGTTTAAGAAGGGGTGAATAAACCTCGTCGAGACAAAACTGGAGCGAAGAAGTTTGGTCTGCGAAGAAGCTGCCCAGTGACCGAAGAGCTTCATGAAAGCTTCCTTGCTCCCAAAACTGTTTCAGAGACTGAATTTTCGTGGGCTTCCGAGGTAGTTTGGGAAGGGAAAGAGTCTTCTTCAACATGGGGTGGTACGAAAGATTGAAAGAAGTGAAGTGAAAAGAGAATGGGATTAAAGATTTAGCCATTAAAACAATTCTACGTGTGCATGCATGGATTGGGATGCGCAACGCACAGACTGCACATCGCCGGCTGATTGCTCGGACCAATGACTATCAAGTGCCTCCTTTTAACGAGATTTGCTTCTCTTTTTTTAAAAAAAAAAATTATTATTTATTTTAACAAAATCTGCTTTCAATTTATGTCGCTTTTGCTTGTTTTGTTTTTTTTTTTTCTTATTTTGTAATTCTATTAAATAGACAAACAACATTTGAAAATGTAAACTGCCGATGAGGATGCTCCTTTAAACAAAAAATAATTTTTTTAAAAAATATATATATTAATTTTCGGATGGTTTTGTTGAATTGTATAGAACCTAATTATACTGTACATTTTTCTTGAAGATGACTGTTCGACTAAATTGTTGAGAATAATTTAAAGAATCTATTTTGTTTGCGTAAATTTGTTAGGTAAGTGACTTAAATTAATTTTAAGAAAGTAATAATTTTGTGTTTTGGGGTAAATTATTGTTTTTAATTTTTAAGTAAGAGTTATTTTATGATTTATTAAGCGTCTATAAATAAGTGTTTTGTATAAAGTTTTATGTGTGTTTAGAAAAAAGTATAGAGAAATAGTGCCTCTTTTGAGAGAGAGAGAAAAGTGATGAGAGATAAGTAATGGTGTAAGGAGTTTTAGGTAGAGAGAAAAAGTGTATTGAGTGTGTAATTCTAAAAACAAATTTCTCTCTTATGTGGATATAGGAAATTTTTTTAAATTACTTAAATCTTGTCTTATTTATTTTTTTGTTATTTTTATTTCTTTTGGTTGTGTTTTTTTAACTGTCGTTTCTCACTTTTATTCATCGTTGTTTATTATTTACTTTGTTTTGTTGTTTATTGTCGTTTTTCTCACTTCTACTCATTGTTGTCATTGTTTATCATTTACTCTCGTTTTATTGTGTATTGTCGTTTTGTTGTTTAATGTCGCTCCTCACTTCTCAGCCGTTTTTTGCATTGCCCGTTTCCCTTACGTCGCCTTTTTACGATTCCGTCGTTTTAATCCATTTTCATCGTTTCTCATTTATTGTCGCTTCCTTCTAGCTGTCGTTTTTTCCTTTTGATGTTCTTTTTCACAATTCTGTCGATTCTTTGGGTATCGTCATTGGAATCAAAATCATTTGTTTTAAATGAAAAAATAATCGAATCATTTATTACCGTTCCCCCACTTTTGCTGTTTCCTCCGAGGTGTCGTTTCCGTTAAAGTCCTTCAATCGAATAGCACCATTTACGTTTTGCACATGATTAATTCCTCTTTGACCGGTGATATCTTACATTCGATTTACAGTTAGAAGTTCAACCAAAATAATTCTCCCGTCCATTCTCTCCCTGAGGGAATACCTCTTGCGTCACCAAAAGCAAAACTCTCTTTTCTGCATGCAAAAAAAAAAAAAAGAAAAAAAAAATAAAGGAGCCATACATAAACAATTGCCAATTCATCCTCATTGATACCGTTCCAAGGATACACAGTGGAATTTATATTGATTTTTGTATCTTTATGCTCCGATAGACCTTTCATGTCAGTCCGTTTAGTTCGTTGTCGTTGATTCGAATTTTTAATTCGAGTTGAGATGTGACTTTATGTGAGAGCTTTTTATTATAACAAAAAAATTAAATATAACTGTTTCTGAGAATTTTTTACTGTAGTAAAATTTAAATTATAAACTCAAATCGATGAAATAAACGGAACTTAAGAGTTTGCATGGTTAAAAGTATTTTCCGTTTGTGTTCTTTTTTTTTTTTTGTTAGCACCGACAAAAAATATATTTTAAATATAATATTGTTATTTATTCTCTTTTCTTAATAATAGCTTTAGTTTGATTTTTTTTTCTCTTTATTTGACACTCACAGATGCAACTATGAAAAATTATTACTATGATTACAAGGAATAACTATCAAATGAACGATGAATTTTTCGGTAATTATTATAATTACTACAAGAAATTTAAAATGGCAGTGGCGTATAAGAAACTAATACAAATCAGTATTATCCTGGAAATATGTTTCGGCGTTGCATCTTTCGGTGACTGTTCTTGCAATGGCTAGTGAAGTTTGATCAGAAAACAGAATACTTCCAAACAAGAATCTCGGTGGACAAAATGAGGCAACAAAGTCCATATACATGCCGAGTTCCTTAAATTACATAATCTAATTTGCAAATTAGAGTTTGATCCAACGTACAAATCAAAGCTGAAAAAGAATCACAGGAGACTTGCTGTAAGAAAAACCAGGGCCTCCCAGATAACAACTCAAAAAGATAAATGTGTACATTTCACAACAAAGAAATGGGCAATAAAGTGCCCGTTGCACTTGCACTATGCAAAAAGAATTTAAAAATAATAATAATAACACACTACCAACGTACTGTCCAACATCCAAAACCAGCCGATCATTTTCACCCATCAACCCATTCCTGACACTTTCTGCTATACATATAACTCACTAGACATCGTTAGTTACTCCACCTATTTACATTTCAAAAAATAAAAACCTGTAGGCTTGATGTTCCTGCACAAAATCAAAGACATCCTTGTATCGACGCAAAAGACAACAAAAGCGCAGCCTACGATCGTGCCTTCTCGATCAGAAGGTTGACCAACTTGGTGGTTTGTGCAGGACGTGTGCTTGTTAGGCTCCCAGCATTTTAACTTGTGGGAGTTTTTCATCTTGTCAATCTTGTTCGCATGTCTAAATCCCAGGCCAGCCCTGTTGCGTTGGGTTGCTTTTCTTTTTCAATGTACGTAGCAATAGTTGTTCAATGATGGATTCCCACCGAGAATTATTCGCTTCCCCCAGTGCTCAAGTTATCACGACCACTATTTTCGAATCACCCTTGATTAAATGAAGATTTCAAATTCTCATCTGGCAATGTCCATGATAGCAAGTGTCCACCAGAGTCCCCACTGAGCAATTGTTTCAAGTCATTTGTGAGGTGAAGAGCAGTAACAGGATGCTTGTGAGACTTTAGCACCTTGTGGAGAATCAACTTGTACTCGGGTGCCTTACCAATGAAACTTAGTCCACCAACTCCGCTACTTGTTGACTTGCTCTGCAAACTCTCTGCATCTAAGCAGTGGACCATTTGCCACACCTTAACCGCCCCACTCTGGTGACCGGTGACATACCAATTTGTATCCAGCCAATCAGAAAACGAACTACTTGTCACAGAGAGAATAGAATCAGATGGAAGCTGGGACGTATTTACCGCTGCAAGGCAGTCCCCATTAATGCTCCAAACAGCAAGTAAAATTCCAGCCGCAGTCACAATTTCCCCAGTCAAGTCATTCACATAAACTGCTGAAACAGGTGCTGGGAACTCGGGGAGCTGCCTAACAAAAACCAAGGAGCTCAGATCCCAAATAATAACAGTGCAGTCATCTGATCCACTGACAATCATCATATAAGGCTGGCTGACATGAAGACATGTTATCTTGGACGTGTGGGCACAGAGTGCCTTCTCCAACTGCAATCGTCTTATTAAACGAGGCCCATGCTTACTGATTCTCCAAACAGAAACTAAACCATCATCAGCTCCCGTGACCAAAATCCTACCATCATGGCTAACACCAGCACACTGTATCTGGTTGCCTCCATGAAGGTTTTCATGTGTTGAGAGAAGCCGGTCTTGATCATAGCTCATAAATCTCAAACTACGGTCTGGAAAACCCCAAGCCACATATTTGGTATATGTTCTTGGTTTAAGAAAACTATTTGTTCCTGCCGCAAGAATTTTCTCATTGATAGCAACAATCTGACTAATAGCAGATGAACATTTACGAATCTCATGTGGAATAATACGGCTGGAGTGCTTGAGCGGATGCGGAGGAAGTTTTCTATCCCCCCGTCTTTTCACATGGGATTTGAGGAATAACTGCTTAGGCGTCTGTCCAAAATGATTAATTTGCGCTAGAATTGAGGCTTTCATTGCAGGATCTGTAACAGAGTCTATGTCTACACTCCCTTCATATGTATAATGGTAGAAAACATTCACAGCTTCCTCTGCCGCCTACCCATTATCCAGGAAAATTGCAAAATCAGAAACAAAACAAAAAAGAAACAAACGAGACTGTAAATAACAGATGAAAGATATTAGTTGAAGTGGAAATGTAGACTCCAATAATGCCACGCCAAGAGTCGATCAAACCACAAAAAATGGCAGGTGAAGCAGCATGTATGAAAGCTTGGCTAGTACTCGTCCAACAATGTCACTTATTAAATTTCCACCAGAAAACGTGAAAAGAAATGAAGACTTTATCATTGACGAAATTAAGTTGGGAATATTAAAAGAGTAAACTTCTTTGTCTGATTTCTTAGCAATGAAACGAGTTAAGAAAATTTTCATTGAATATCAAAAGGTATTCTTATTATTTTATTTTTCTTTTTTGAGAGAGAGAGATTGTTAAACATATGAAAGTAATCAATTGCCTAGAAAAATGATTTAGTAGAAAACATCAGACAAATGGGCTATGACCATCCCGTGAACCAAATATTCAAAAGATTTTGTTTGTGTCTTTCCTTTTTCCTTTGTTTGTTAATTTATTTATTTATTTTTGTTTGATTTTATCCTCCAGCTAAAAGGACCCCTAGAAAAGGAGATGTAAAAGGTGAATTAAAATCAGGACGGAAATATGGGTCATAATGAGTGTTAGTATTGATACCCACCTTTCCTCTCTGTTTATATCCGAATATAAGATCTATCCAATTATGCAAATTCTCTGACACAAAATCTGATTCCAATGCCTCCCTATGCTTTCTGATAAACTCTCTAGCACTGCCTTTTGCCCATGGAGGTAAGACCACGTCACCAACCTGGAAAATAACAAAGAAAATTGCAATTGTAAAAGTTTCTGAGGGAAGGAAGACGAGAGCTGTTAGCGTGTAAAAAGTTTCT